AGATGAGTGACTTGGGTTTGCTCGGTTTCTACCTTGGCATTGAAGTGCAAAAAGGCAAAAATGGGACCACCATGAGGCGGACTCACTATGCCAAGAAAATCCTAGAACTGGGAAGCATGTCTCGATTGCAATCCAAAGACTACACCAATGGAAGAGCGCTGGCTTCAAAGAAGCATAGCATCGCCAAGGAGGTGAATCCAACTCAAAGATAGGAGGTCGGTTGGAGCTTGAGATACTGGTTCATACCAGCTGATTTAGCTTTCTCGATGGGCTATGTGAGCAGATTCTTGGAGAAACCGACCACCGAGCACCAAAGAAGCGGTCAAGAGGGTGCTTGAGGTACTTGGTCGAACATTGGACTATGGTCTGCAGTTCAAAAGAGCCCCAAATTCTGCTAGGTTTGTGGGCTAATGTGATTCAGACCTAGCCGGTGATATTGACTCCAACAAAAGCACAACAAAGTTGTCTGTTCTTCTTTGTAAACAAACTTGGTCACCGGCAATCTATCAAGCAGGAGGGTGGTGGCTTTGTCTAGTTGTGAGGTGAATATGTGGCTATGACTTCAAAGAAACAACACAAGCCCCAATGGTCGCCAAGATTGTTGGCTGATTTGTTGGGAAGAAAGGTGGAGACTGTGGAACTAAGGGTTGACAACAAGTCTGCAATTGCACTTGCTAAGAACCACATCTTCCATGACAGAGCAAACATATCGAGTTAAGCAACATTTTATCGTGGATTGTATTGAAGAAGGCAACATCGGGGATCGAGTACATCCCTACAAAATTGATCAATTGGCGTACATTCTCACTAAGGCTTTGGGCAAGGCCAAGCTTGAAGATATGAGAAGCGAAATTGGCATCAAGCGAGATCAAGAAGGGTTGAAGCAGGTCTTAGGGGAGAATCAGAGGCTGTAAGCCACCTTCCCAGTGCACATTTAGTGTATTTAAGTTTTAGTTTATCTATGTCATTAAGTCCTTGGGTAGCCCAAGAGTTGTGCGGGTACCAGCAGATATTCTGTCTAGTTAAAGCTCTAGTGAGTCAGATGTAATCAATGCAAGACTTATCCTCTATATATTGCAATGCGATCGCTTTGGGAGAGTTGCCCTGGCTGATTATTTCTCTGTTAACTCCAACACATATTGGTACATACTACTGGGATGGCATACCTGAATGCATCCAAAGTTCACCGGTATATATCATCCTTGTCATCACGAAAAGAAATTGATGTGGCCCTTGGTAGGTTGAGCTGACTAATATCTGCGAAGGTTTATAAAGAAGTAACAGCATAAATAATTCATCACTCTATTGGAATGGCAGAGTGGGACCATAAAAAACTGCAGAAATTAATCACTTACATCAATAAATTGGTAATTGTTGCCTTGTTTACGGATACCCTAAATTCATATCAGAGCTCATTCAAATAGAATTCAGAAATACTATTTAGACTAAGATTGTTTGGTGCACACAAACAATTATATAATTAGACTGCAGGTCCTGTAGAATTTAGAATGGTGGTTCTTTTGTAACAATCAGATAATACTTTTAGAGTGCCAATTATCATAGCCTTAGACTTGGACCTACAGAACTATTTTGATGAACTAAATCTGCTTCAGTCCAATGCTTCTGAAACAGCTTTTGTTCTTCTCACTCGTGTGTCAACTCTAAGCCCTGGTTTGTGGTTCTCTTTGCATGAGTTTCTTTCAACATTGAAGCACTTCAGAACAAACCGTAATACTGATTTCTCCCCTAGTAGAAAATCTAACGCTAACACTACAGACATGACGAGCATCCTAATTTATTGTTTCGATAGGATTCACATTTTACCTGCTTGACGGAAAGGTGGGGGCACGTCCGAGCGGCGAGGGAGATCCAGGCGAGATGGTCCTCATCAGATTAGGCGAGATGGACATCGGGCAGGTCACGGCCACCGGCGGGCAGTGGTCGTCAGTGTGTGCTGGTTCCGCGGGTACGGCGTGGCCGCGCGGCAAGGCACAAACTGTGGGGGCCGAGCGCCGCTACCGTGGCGAGGATCCGCGTCCGCGCCGTCCGCGCAACACCGCCCACGCCGCCTTGCAAAATATTTGACAATAACAGCTCTCACAGCGGCAGAACCGTGGCCGCGGCGCGATGGCGCAGAGCAACGGAGGCGGCGGCGGAGGGGCGCGGGGAGGTGGATCGGGGGAGAGGCGCGGGGAGGCGGATGGGTTGTGTGGGGGTGGGGTGCGGTTGTGCGAGCGCCCGTGGAGAAGATCGGGGAGGATCGTGGGCTGTGACGGTTCTGCACTTCTGCGGGCTTCTCGCGCAAAGGGAGGAAGGTTTGGCGGGCGATCACGAGCAGAGTGAAGCGATTAGTTGCTAATCAGATGATGACCTTTGGGTCATTCTAGGTGTAGAGACAGAGATAGAGATTTTTTTTCAAACTAGCATCAAATCATCTGTCTTTTTATTTATTTTGCTCGTCTCAAATCAGTACTCATCTTTGTCTTTTGCTGTATGAATAACCTCAATAGAAAAAAAAATTAAGTTAGCTCGTGAGCCAAACAAGTCAGCTCGAGCTGCCAAGCGAGCGAGCCGAGCTGAGCTTCTAGCTCATTAGTATAACGAGCTGAGCCAAGCCAGCTTGATAACGAGTCGGGCTATAACGAACCGAGCTAGCTTAATACCCAGACCTGCACATAGGCGATTCCGTGTTCATTCAGTGTGGGTGTCACTATCGTTGATTGTTTTTGGCAGGCTCCCTCTATAATCCCTGGCTACAGCTCCAGTGAGCACCACAGTTGCCCAATGTCCAGCGCCGGCTACGACGCATGGAAGTACTTTTTATTATCCGCCACGTGCCACCTACTATTACGGCAAGTGCCGGAGCAACGCTGTATAATGATGTGTCGCGTGTGTGTGTGCGCGCGTGTGCAAGTAGAATAGAGGAATGCAATCCCGTGAAATTCCTTGGAGAAACCTCTGGTCTAAATGGAAACGAGGCCTCGACGGTAGGTGGTCGATTTTAGAGGGCGACGCCGATCGATCGGTATGCCAGCGACGCCGCGGCAGTCGATCGCATATTCATATGCAATCAGCACGTGCAGTGCAATTATGTGTTACGCCTACACGGCGGCGCTACGGCGTACTAATGGCGTCCAGGCCATGTCTGCCGTGTGTATCCACCGGCGCCGCACTGACACTGACATGGTGCGACACCAGCGCCATTTCCACCCATGCCCCCATGCGGACCTGTTGTCGCGCAGCTTTGTTCAGTTGTTGTTCACACAGCCGCACAGGCTGGGCACTCGTCGGAAACGCCAGAAAAATACCGCCGCGTCGAGACAGGCAGACAGACCCGTGAGTTTCTCGCGGGAACAGGGGGACGCAACAGTGGTCCCCTCGGTCGTTTGGCTTTGGCGCCGCGCCGGCGCCTGGGGCAGTGGGGGGCGGGTCCCGTGTCCGTCCGTCTACTTGATCTTCGTGGACGCTGAACCGCGTGTGTTCTGCGGCTGCTGGGACCAAGGGCAGCGATGCCGAGTTGCCGACGTGCGGCCGTGGTCTCTGCGGGACAGCAAATCTGCTCTTGGCGTTTTGGATGGATGGGCCGTGGGCGCACCGCTCTTGTGAACAAAACTGGCAGCGGGCCGTTGGACTTGCTGGGCGCTGTAATCCTCCTCCCTTATCCCCCCTCGCGGAAACCTGATGCATTTCACTTGATTCATTCAATGTTACGCTGTCCCCTGTGCTCTTTCAAAACCAGAGTCTCTTTCGTACCAGTGTCGCATCGGTAATCATGGGAAAGTGTCAGCTGCATTTTCCCCCTTTTTCTAAGAAAATACCATTCTATGAATGAAGACTTCTCTAACAAGTAGGAATTGTCATCAAGACTTTAAAACACCAACTGTTGGTAAAAAGAACTGCGCATCGTTGAGTGACTTGAGTCTAAATCATCAATGCAGTCACTGCCGCACCGGTTGCATCGACAAGTTTTGCTCAAGAAAGAGGCCAAAAAAAAGTCTGAAAGGAGGCCAGTGTAGCAGCCGCTTGTTCCTCTGTTTAGTACCACCTCGCCACTCTAAGCTGCGCAGCACCAGCTTAAATTGCTGTCTTCTTAGCCCACGTTCGCCGAGCTCAGTTGCGCGGGCTTGTAACCCAAGTGGGGTCATTAAGGTGGTGTGGATGTTTGGTGCGGGGTCTGGTCCTGGGCCTGTGGTGTGCCTTGGCAGGCCTGCCCGTTCCAAGTTGGTTGTGGCCAGCGGAGACTTGGGCGAAAGCTCTGGGCCTCCCTGGACCTAAAGTGGCAGGAATGGCGTGAGGCTGGCTTCACAGAGCAGCGATCACTGCCCGCTTCCAACGGTGGGAGGATTACAGGCCGCTGCATCGTCGGCCCGTTTCAGGCCCAGTCTCCTACTAAAACAGACCACCATCTTTTTTGCCATTTGTTTCTTTGTTGCCTTTCCCAGTATTTTTCTCTATCATTGGATTTTTTTCCCCTGCTGAGCAGATATCAGTCCGTGCCAGCACATTTTATGGATTTTTTTCTCCTACTGAGCTGATATCTATCTTTTCTCATATTTATTTTCTCCTACCTGATAGACCTGTGCATCACATTTTATCTTTGCCTTCATTTTGGATTTCCACCCCTGCTAGCTGAGCTGATAGACCTGTGCATCACATTCTATCTTTTACCGTTTATAGCTCCAGAGATCAAATATTATTGCAAACTAGCAGGTTAGGTGACTGGATTCTTGAGGACACGGCAGATTCACAACTGGTATCTCGAAAACAATCAGTGCTACAGATATTTGCAGCAGGGATAAAACATATCAATTAGAGAACAAGAGAACCAACCAATACATCAGCACATCCTTCCCTCGTGCCACAATTGTGACAAATATCTAAAATACACCAGTGTTCCGACACAATCCCGCCAAAATCCAAGCATTTCAGCAGGGGGGTTTACAACCAAAACAAATATTGAGTGAATATTTTGAACACACCCAGCACCAAACGCAGAAGCATCACATGGAACTGCAGCACTTGCTCTTTGGGATTTCCTGGGCCGGACCTGGGACAAAGACCTTCGTCCCTGGCATTGCTGGGGCAGCTCCATTGCTCTTTGGCTCCGACACCATGTTCTTCTTGCTGTGAATTTTGAAGATCTCTGTCAAGACAGTTTGAAAAGCACTCTCTACGTTTGTTGCCTGGAGCGCAGAGGTCTCCAGGAAGAAGAGATTCTCCTTCTCGGCAAACTCCTTGGCATCTTCAGTGCTCACGGCTCGCTGCTCCTCGAGATCACTCTTGTTGCCAACCAGCATTATCACAATGTTCTTGTCAGCATGGGCTCGGAGTTCATCAAGCCAGCGGGGTATATGATCAAAGCTCTGGCGTCTAGTGATGTCATAGACCAGCAAAGCTCCCAGTGCACCTCTGTAATAAGCGCTTGTCACAGCTCTGTACCTGCAGTAGTTGGGTGTAGCCAGCAACTCAGCATGAGAAGTTCATGAAAAAAAGTGATGGAAATCAGGCACAAAAAGTCACGACGCCTAAAAATGACTACCAAAGATGTCATGCTCTAAGGCCACGGATACGGATTTCCATGGGTCAGCACTCCGCTAATCGGAATGCTTCAAACACTATAACATCATGAACAAATCTAAAGCAAGTGATGATTGTAATATGCAGAGTACTTCGAGAGTGCGAATCATGCACATTGTAAGTTTTCTTGTCAAGAGTAAAGAATTTTGTTGCCTGAAGAAGATAATGACAAATTGATGTTTGTATTCTACTCCTACGAAATTCTTCCAGTTCTATTAACAGGACGTGAGCATGTCTTGCAGGCTCAAGCTAGTAAGGCATATTTGCTCAAAAGGAGTAATGACATGCTGACAGCTGACAAGAGTTTGTGACCAAGCGAGGAACCATGACATAGTGCAGAAGCAATGTAGCTAAAATCCAACCAACATGGTAGGCCTCCCATCATAGAGGTCTCCAACAAACAATTTTTTTTTTTTCAAAGGTTTTAAATTCTTGCATAGCATTTCATAGTACGTCTAGCAGGCCTGTTCATTGTGTAAGGCTGTGTTTAGTTCATGAAATTTAGGAATTTAGCTAATGTAGCACTTTCGTTTTATTTGGCAATTAGTGTTTAATCATGAACTAATTAGGCTCAAAACGTTCGTCTCTCGCGATTTCCAACCAAACTGTGCAATTAGTTTTTTTTTCTCATATTTAATGCTCCATGCACGTATCGCAAGATTCGATGTGATGGCTATCTGCAGCACTTTTTGGGAAACTTTTGGGAACTAAACACAGCCTAAAGGTGTTGTCAATTGTGCATTAAAGAACGTCCAGTATCGGACGGCAGATGAGCAGGCCCTGTTTGTTTCGCTGAAATTTGGCTTATGCTGATGTGTTGCGAGAGGAAAACAGTGTTCGTTCGCGAAAAAAATCCGCTGATTTGGCAATTATTGTTCCCATTTGCTCAAGCTCCCTGTCAAACAACTTCTGTCAATTCAGAACCACCACCACCACTACTAACTACAGCACAGTTTACTTCCTCAGATCACGGTTTCTAAAACTACAGAGCAAGTAGAAGCCAACAAAAATGATTGCATTCGTCCTGCCTCAACAGTTAAAGACTAACTGAAGCATGAGCATGACTTGAGTAAAAGCACTGCATCATAAGCAAAGAAGAGTTGCCAGATCTAATCACCTAGCAGCACATTGTCCTGTGCTGGTAAGGTAGGTGTGAACGCGCAAAAAGCAAACATTTCACAAGTAGAGATCCACCATTGCGCTCAACGTTTCAGCTACCGCTACAGTCCACAGAGATCTAAAATGCGCAAGAGGAACGGATCGAGGAGCATGATTTGCGCAAGAGACGACCAGTGAGTAAAGCAGCGGATAGGATCGGGAGCAGAGCGGCGAGGCGGACAGATGCGGTAGTTGCTGGTACCTCTCCTGACCGGCGGTGTCCCAGATCTGGGCCTTGACGCTCCTGTGGTCGATGACGAGGGTGCGGGTCTGGAACTCGACGCCGATGGTGGCCTTGGAGTCGAGGCTGAACTCGTTGCGGGCGAAGCGGGCGAGGATCTGCGACTTGCCCACCGCCGAGTCGCCGATCAACACCACCTTGAAGACGTAGTCCACCTTGTCCCCGGCCCCCGCCATGTGTCGGCGCCGGTGGCGGGCTGGCTAGCTAGTGGCGCTCTCTGCTCCGGCTTCCTTCGGGGCTCGCGAAGGAGAGAAGAGGCAGCTGCGCTAGTGGAAATGGACTGCGGGGATGCGTGTGCGCGTGCGCTTTTTTAGCTGGTGGTTGTATGATTTTTGAAAGCAGGCGAGACGACATCGGTCGGTCTTGACGAAAGTATCCCTGACTTTCATTTTTTTTCTGGTCTCACCAAACTAGTAGTACCATTCTAGTTCTACTTCTACCCAATGCTAGTGAAACTTTTTCATGCGTATGTGACGTGTGGATGCAAGAGAAAGAAAAAACTAGCACCTTGCAAGAGCAAATAATACAAAGCACAGGCAGTCGTGCAGGAATAGAGACTGAAGCTGATCGTAACCTGCCGTAAGTAATGATTCTTTGGACCCGGATTGCGGCCTTATTTCTTTAAAATTTCAATCCATGTGCAGGCAGCTTTCGGCAAAAACTAAAGAGCAAGGAAACCCATAGTGGCCCTGGGAGTGGACAACACGCTGCCATTGGATGTCCATGGCGAGACCACAGAAGAATTGCGACTCTTTACCTGCGTTGGTCCCTGTGGCCTTTGCCGGTACCGGGAAGGTCTTTTGGCGATTTCACTCGTGCAGTGCAGCGGCTACCTTTTGTTTGTTTGTTTTCCTTTTTCGAGCAAAGTTTCTATTGTTTTTATTTTTATTTTTGAGGGGAGCTTCTATTGTTTGGTAGACGGGGTGGAATGGCGACCGTGAAAAAGCCCAAGAAGGCTACAACCTACAACTACAAATGACCAATCATGGGTATTTGCTGGGCAGCTTGAGGCCCTGTTTTTTTTTTTTTACTGAGGCCACCACAAAGCTTTTGCGAATTCTTTTTCGGTTCCTTTTTCGGGTAATATAAGCACCAAGCCATTCTAAACCTTAGATCCTCTTTGTTTGAGGCTTTGGCTACCTTTAGACTACTATCTTTTGGATTCAGTAAATCTACGTGTCACTCGAGTGTTTTTTTATCTCCGCTCACTCGATTTCTGTCGGTAGTGCTGATCGGTCGATTGGGGGCTGGGATTTATCACCATCACCACACGGAATCTTTATGAGATTTTTCCGTGTGTACCATTATAAAAGATCGTAATCCCCTATGTGCCTCTGAAAAAATTCAGCGGTCTTCAGCGCTACTACTTTAACTTTTTCGTGTCATCCATGCCACTTCCGTCAGTTTGGGCTCTAACGTCGTCAAACTGCAGGTGTGAAAAGACGAAAATGCCCTTAAGTTCAAATATGTTATTAATTTTTTTAAGCATCTTAATGACTTCAAATGAAAAAACTTAAAATTAGAAAGTTGTAGATCTCGTCGAGATCTATAATTTTCATATATTTTTTTTTCATTTAATTCCGTAAAAAAAATATAATTTTTCTAAGATATATTAATCATATTAAATCATATTTTTAATGTCGGACGCGTGAGCTCTGAGGATTTTGCATCGGGCGCGGACACGTGAATTTGGTCTTCATGTCGGAACTGAGTAGGACGTGAACGTGTGAGCTCCGAGCAGAGTATGATTCGTATCAGATGTGGACGCGTGAGCATGGATCAAAATTTGGTATCACCGGGTATATGATAGCTTTAGAGTCCTTTTAGGTGTAGATATGTAGGGAAGAGAAGATATAGAGAATAACTGAAAAATAAAACATAGGTTAGTCTAAACAAATGAGGGGAATTATATTTGTCTTGTCAATGCCAAATATAGATTAGTCTAAATAAATTTCATCCCCGGACCTTGCATTTGTTGATTTCTACAAGATCAAAGGAACGGATGAGATATTCTCGCATGTAGTTTTGTATTTTAAATAATTAGACATGTTTGGTAGATGGGTGGATTGATTTCGTTGACATGTCCGAGTCTTTTTAGTTGTCCGTGTTACGTATATTCATTTTGATTCTTCCGAAGCCTTTTTGTTTTTGAGTCTGAGTCGTATAGGCACGCACACCAAACTATTTTGGACGAAAACGAGTGAGCTCCGATCAGCTCGCATGTAATTTTGTATTTTAAATAATTAGACATGTTTGGTAGATGGACGGATTGATTTCGTTGACGTGTCCGAGCCTTTTTAGGTGTCCGTGTTACGTATATTGATTTTGATTCCTCCGAAGCCTTCACCTTGTTCGCATGATCCTTTCTGTGGCTCATAAGCCGACAGATGTTATTTTGTCGTGGGAGAAAAACACTTAATACAATCGAGCGAACAGGTTACTTGTTGTTTTGAGTCTGAGTCGTATAGGTACGCACAGCAAGCTATTGCGTTGTGGACGAAAGTTGTACTTGTTTTTTAAGTAGTAACAGATTAATGTTTGCTGCGCGTTCACGATTTGGTCTTTTCTTTGTTATTTAATGTTTGCTGAACGTTCACGAGTTCAATTCCAACTCATAATTCTTAGTCTCAGGTTCTTTACCCTTCATCATCATCAGTCACAGAAAACAAACAAGATCAAGTAATCAAATGGTAGCCGCTAAACAGTTTTTTCCATTTGAGACGTACTCCTTCGACGGTAGTACTACTAGAAGCTACAAAGATAAATTGACATCGCTAACTAGCAAAAGATGCTGACAAAAATAGGTTCGGGAAATGCGACGAACTCAAGCTCATCACAACATTGCAGTTTCAACTCATGGAGTTGTTTCTTCTCCCTCTTCAAGCCGAAGACCGTTTTTTTATCAGTACGTACGTCACACGTTTTGCCTCATCTCCTTGGCAAGCTCGAGCTCTGGGGCCTGGTCACGGACCTGCTCCTGCTGCCCCTGCGGCTGCCGTTGCCGTCCCTGCCCCGGCCCTTGCCCGACGACCCAGGGCTCTGGCTGAGGCGCCGCGTGAGCCGCCTCCGCGAGTTCCAGCCGGCGTTCCCGAGCGCCGCCTGCGCGACGCTGTCCTTGGCCACCTCCCGCGCGCGCTGCGGCTTCACGGCCTGCTTGTTGAGGTACTCGATCCGCGGGAGCAGGCCCGACACGGCCTTGCGGAGCGTGTCGTCGCCGGTGTTGGCCTGCACCGGATTGCCCAGCAGGTTGATCGCCCGCAGCGAGCCGTAGTTGGCCACGAGCTGGCCCAGGGACTTGGCCGTGGTGATCTTGTTGAAGCTCACGTCCAGGACGGCCAGCTTGAGCAGCCGGTGAAGCCCCTCCACGTCGCTGATCTTGTTCCCGGCCAGGTACAGCTCCCTGATCGCCGTGCAGCTCGACAGGCCTGAACGGAGAAAGCGGAAACACACGTTAAATTCGTCTGCTGTACTGTACATTCTCGATCCACAATTGCACATCCACGTACGTATAAGGTTAAAGATCACTGTAACTCTGTTACACTAGTAGCTATGCTATGCAAGGTTGAGACGTGTCAGGTGAAAGGACCGAGAGGGCAGATCCTAACGGGTGCCAAACATAGCTGAGCGGCTGAGCCAGAGGCCATAAACATAAAGGGGCAGGGCAGCGGCTGGACCAGCTGACGGACGTGGCATACAGTCATGCTGTCATGCACATATGTTTCTGGGAACGATCAATGTTGGGACGGACAGATCCCCTGGAATCCAATCCAAAGGTCTGAACTCTGAACATGGGACGCGCCGAAGCGTGTCACGGCGATCGAAAGGCTGAAAAGAAAAGCAGCATTATGCGAGATGTCCGCATCAGATATCTGAAGCATGTGACACCCCATTCCGACATGCGTTCTGGTTACCAGCACCCACACGGCCACACGTACTGACGGCAGACGCCGCATATGAAATCCTGAGCCTGTTCAGTCACAATGAGCTAAAACCGCAGGACCCATCTCCCATGATGTCTAGTAGGAACCCTAGCCCTGCAGTGTGGTATGGTATGGACCATGCTATGCTATGGCTTAGCGCACGAGCAAGGACCTGACGAAGATCTAAATGCCAAACATCCAGGGTGTCACACATTACCGCTGATACGCGCATTGAACAATATTCGTGCGGTGCAGATAACTCCAAGCAGGCTAGGCACTGTGTTTTCACCTGACACGTATTCAGGGCACAGGCAGGCAGAAAATGCAGATACTAACCGGCAAGAAGTACTAAGTAAAAGTCGGGTTGCATTGCCAGGACAAGGACGTGCTTGCTTACCATGCCCGATCCGCGAGATCCGGTTGTAGCTGAGGTTGAGCACCCGCAGCCTCGTCAGCTCCCGCAGCCCGTCGATGATTGCAATCTTGTTCCTCGACAGATCCAGCGAGTGCAGGCCTTTGGGCAACGATCCAGCGCTGATTTGAACTGCAAAGCCAAAGGACAATTATGAATGAGTCAAGTCAAGTAACAAAACGAAATTTACTCGTGTTAGTTACTGATAGTACAATCTACAGATGTTGTTACACGAGTAGAGAAATTCTCGTGTCTGCGATCAGGAATTACCAATCATGTTTCCAGACAGATTGACGGCCCGGAGGGTAGAGAAGGCCGCGATCGTCGGGACGGCCTTGAGCCCCATGCCGGCGATGTGGGCGACGGAGGAGAAGGTGTTGAGCGTCTGCACGATGCCGCTCGCCTGGGCAGCCTCGTCCGCCGCGCGCCGCTTAGCCTGCGGATGCCTCTTGCCGCCGGCCGTCGTCGTCGACAGCTCCACGATCTCAGAACACCGCGGGCGAGAAGCGCCGTCGCCGTCGCCGCCGTGCCCCGTGACATCGTCCTCGTCGACGGCGTGGAACGAGCCGCTCCCAAGGCTGTTCACCCACGCGCTGACCCGGTCCAGGGGCGAGGCCTCGGCGGAGAACGCGACCCACTGGCTCCGGATGGGGTCCGCCTCCACGGCGACGCCCTTGTTCTTGGCGTCCGCGGTGACCGCGCCCAGCGTGTCGGACGTGTACCCGTCGTGCTGGTGCGCCGTACCGCCTTCTTCTTCTTCTTCCCCCGGCGATGGAAGCATCGTGGGCATGGCCGCGCTCGCGCTCGGCCGGTGCAGGTTGCGGTGGCTCCAGAGGAACATCTG